TCATTGTGTGCTTGATCCTGCATTAGAAAGAAAAATACAAATGAATAAAATATGTTCTATACCTTTGCAAGCACTAGAGACTAGTGGTTAAAACAAATGTAAACTGAAATCATTTCTACAACACAATAATTGATATAATCATGGTGCTATGGAAACAGAAAGTAATCTCTCTCTCTCTCTCTCTCTCTCTCTCTCTCTCTCTCTCTCTCTCCCTCCCTCCCTCCCCTGTGATTCTAAAGCCTCTGACTTTTGACTTGAGTTTTGACAATTAAGTTGTGGAAAGGAGAGAATTTTCTAAGGAGAGAATACACACAGAGACATTAACCATAAAAGATATGACCTGTGCTAAACACCGCAGGCAGCTGCATCAGAAGTAAAAACAACCAAGGAGGAAAGGGTGTGATCTTAAAAATGTTATATACAATGCTGCAGGCAACAGGAAGCCATCAAAGGGCTAGGCATGTGTGGTAGGTAGGGTAATCTCTGTGCCCACCAAAAGATATGTACAATCTAAACCCCAGAACCTATTAATATATTGCCTCATGTTGTAAAGCAGGAAATATGGTTGATCAGATGATCTTCAAATGAGGAGATTATCCTGATTACCCAATTGCTATGATCTAATCACATGATTCTTTAAACTGAATAAGGAAGATGAAATGGAAGAGTCAAAATATGAGAGGCACTCAACCCACGTTACTAATTCTGAAAATGAAGGCAGGGGAAAAAAAGCCAGGGACTCTTGGTGGACTCCAAGTGGATTCTAGAAAATGAGAATTTCCTCAGCAAAGAGCCAAAAAGCAAGTAGGACCCTCATTCCTTTAAGGTAAGGAATTGGGTTTTGCCTACAAACCAAATGAACAAACAAATAAAACAATCTCCTACTTCATAAACATGGAATGTCTTACCGTGTATTGGATCTTCTTTGACTTCCTTCATCAACATTTTATACTTTTCAGTATTAAAGGCCCATAATATATGTTGTTAGAAATACAGTTGAGTACCTTTTTGGAGCAACTATGTTTTTAGCTTAATTTCCACAAGTTTATTGTTCCTGTAGAGAAATAAAATGGATTTTATTCTGAATAATATTTATTCTGAATCCTGCTGAACTTAAGTTCTAGGAGTTCTTGGAAGCTTTTAAAAATATTTGCTGTGTAAAATCATGTCATATTCAAATGGGGACTGCTTTCTTTCTTGCTCTGTGATTTGTAGGCTTTACATTTCCTGTTCGTGCCTTAATGCTCTGGCTAAAACTTCCAGCACTGGTGAATAAAGTTGTGAGACTGGGCATTCTTTCTTGACATCCTTTCACCATCAAATAGAATATTAGCTACACAAGTTTGATCAAATTAAGCTCTATCAAATTAGGCTCCCCTGTGTATGACTTTCCTAAGGCAGCCATAACAAAGTACCACGAAGTCATGATTTAAAACAGTACATTCTCTCATTCTTCTGGAGAATGTATATCCAAAATCACAAGGTTGTTATCAAGGACATACTCCCTCTAAGATTGCTTCCTAACTTCTGGTGAAGGTGTCAACCCTAGATATTCCTGTTCATCAGTCACCACAGGAACATTGTCTTTACTCTTATTGTGAGGAGGCTTAGGTAGAAATTGCTACCAAGAAGATCTTCTTGGAGGTTTTCAAATGAGGAACTTAATTTTCTTAATGGTCACTGGACCATATAAATGTCTGTGTTCTTCTGGTAGTCCATGCATTTAAACAAATTGATCTACTTCATCTAAACTGTATAGTTGTGTGTTTAAAGTTGTTGAGTTGCACTAATCATTTTTTGTTATACTCATGTTTTCCCCGAGGCTGCATATATTATTCAAAAAAGAAAAGCAGGTTTATTTAGCTGTCACTGTAAAAATGAGATCTGTTTTATTCAGGGTTTGTGAACATGAATGACACATCTGGATTTCTAGACCACTAATGATAAACTCTTATGGGGATTTGCACTGACTACAGCCACCATCCCCACTTAACTGAATTTCTGTTCAGCAGGCAAAAAGAGTCCATAGGAAGTTGTGGAGCAAGGAGGCCCTGGGGAGAAGAGGCATCTAAGACCAACAGTGGAAGTTGTAAGGATGGATCCCATGGTTTCAGTGCTAATTGATGGAAAGGCCTCAAAAAGGAGCTTGGCATCCATATGTTAAAATAATTGAGTAAGTGAAACATCCCTTCCTTCCTACCTAGAGTGGGAGTTATACTGCCCCCAGAGAGAGGCTAACATCTGTTTCTAGGAGCCATAGGGAGAACACCTGCCTGACAAGTGCCAGCCTGGCCAAGTGGTAGTCCTCAAGGAAAACTCCATCCCAGGATACCTTCTTCTTCTGCTCCTGAGAACAAGCCACACAAAATGCAAAAAGGCATTCCTCCTCTATACTGCCTCTCTCCCATCCTCCAGGATCCCTGCACACCCTTGTGGCTGTCCCAATGTGGGCCTAGAGTTGTCACCTGGGCCTGGGCTTCCTCTTCAGGCACACTCCTCCGTGATCCTCAGTAGGCCTCTCCTGCTTCCCAGAACCTCCTGCACATTCTAACCTTTCAGGCAGCTCTTTGGCAATCCCTTCCCTAGGCCAAGGTTGGATCCCAAAATGTCCATTTCCTGGCTGAACACCTGGGAAGTGACTTAGAGGGATTATCTTAGAGGGTTTTACCACCATTGGGATTTTTTTTCTCTAGAAAAAGATTCAAAGAGTTTCTCCTTAAAATGCTTCCAAATATCTGATAATTTCACAATTGGGCCCTATCAGAAAAGGGCAAAATACTAAATTGACACATGTGACATGCATTTGTTTTTTAAAGGTATCCCATTTTCTGACTACTAAAAGTAATAGCAGGAAGAAGCTGCCAGAGAAGCTCTGGGGGCACAGTCCTGCAGAGCTATCAGGGAAGGAAGGTGTTAGAAGCTTTCAATCTGGCTAACCCAAGTATTTCCCACTCTTTCTTTGTACACACTTCAATTACAAACTTTGGCATAAAGAGAACCCAAAGCAAAGAGCAGTTCCACATTGGTACACTTTGCTTTTATGTAAATAGCATCCATAAGATGGCTTGTCATCTCCACTCCCCAAACTCCATGTGCTCCTTTCTCTACTACCCTCAGCAGGGGCCATGAGGAAGTTTTGGGTGGTGAGGCAACATAATAGGTGGTAAGGCACACAGTCATCTGCTCCAGGCAGGCCCACCCCTACCACCTGGCCCGCATCTGACTTCCCTGCAGACAGTATGAAGGAGATGATGCCGTAGAACACTCTAGGGTCTCCAATGCCTTCTCAG